GGCTCCGGGATTGGCTGCCATTTTTGAGTACTTGGTTGAGCCCTCATTCCAGCCCCCGATCGATATCAAGGCCTTCATGTTTTTATTCACGTCCCGCAAGTGCTCAATGCGCCGATACATGCCTTATGTCAATATATTAATCATTTTATCATAATTAATACAATTATTTATTTTTAACAAAATATGACAATTTGTTCAATTATAAATTATATACCTCGGCCCCATGGTAGGCCACTTCTATAATCGGTGTCACCAAGGTCCAAATCGGGCTCAAACACAGCGATCTCGTTGTTTGCGCCCAATTTAGCAAAACCGTACATCAAATGAGTGCACAGCAGAGGGTTTGACATTTCCGGTTCAAACTAGGAACAAATTGTTACAAATTAATTCTCAATTCACCTTAAATGATATATCAAATACAAATTACCTTTCCGTTTGATTGCCTGTAAAATGACCACGAACCCCAGTAACAAACCACATTGTAATTTGCATTGCTCGTCTCTAGTTATTATATAAATAAAACAATTAAACAATTAAATTATTAAATTGAATTAATTAATTAACATAAATAAACATGCTTATATATTACCATTAACTGGTGCGGCACTAATGACGGCCACTAAGGCAGCAATAATACTCAAAACGCTTAACATTGTTCTGCTATTATTGTGTTTCGACCAAGGACAGTATTTTAAGTTAAAGTTATTTCCAGCAAAATGACTTTGTTTATATACCTACAGTTTGGAGTTTCACAATGAGTATTTTGTTTTAAGATAACCAAGTTAATCACAGCACTTGAACAGGTTTAATTACTAAATATAACTTACAATGTGCAATATTGTACCAATGATAATAATTCACATGATGGCACCAAGCTACCTTGGTATGTCTAAATAATCAATATAATTTAATAAAATATATATAATTGTCACTAAAGATTCTTTTAACAAAACAATGATATAATGTACCAATCAATTATGGTTGTGTAAACATTTATTTCTGAATACTGTGTACTTAATAATAAATAATCTAATTATTGATTATATAATACCTTAAGTGTTTAATCCGGAATTAATTAAGGATTTACATTACAAGTGTTTACCCACAAGTGTTGGTGATAAAATAAAAATAGACCTTATAGAGTTTATTACAGAGTTTATAGAGTTTATTATAGAATATAATGGTTATACTCCAGACTATTACCCATAAAATCCCAAAACACTACATCTGGTTAGTATCCAACCTCCCCCCAAACTCTGGTGCTTTACCCCCCATTGAGCCTTACTTTATTGAGTGGTGTTAACGAGGGTATATAAGGGCTATCCTAGATATCTCTCGCGCTCTACCATCTGAAGTCTCACTACAGTCGAGTTGATTCGTAGGCTCTTGAGAGCCGTATAACCATCTCTATTGATGCTTCATATTTTAAAGATCTCATAACTTGTATTTCATTTATGTTTTAATTAAAGTATTGTTTGCTTATAAATTGTGTCTATCATTGTGTAATAAAACTGCCTCTTGGCCCCCCATTCGGAGCCCGGCTCCCGACCTGTGCAGGTACGGCTCCCACCCTAAGGTAAGTGTTAACCAAGGAAAACACCCCTAACTGTAAGTAAATAAGTGTATAGTTATGTATTAACCATTATTATTATTATTATTGCTATTCTATGCGTGTTTTATACCACAATCTTTCTGTTATATTCTATATGGTGGAGGATGCTAAGGGTAGAAAACAATTGCTTTTCTAGATCCCAATCACTAGAAAGATTCTAATGTTAAAATCATATCTCTACTGAATGAATATTTTCAAAAATTACAGCCGTAATCATACTGATTAGATGTCTATACACTATTTATTATATTTTTGCTTTATTTCATATAATCTGTTTCTTAACTTTCTAAATAAAATTTAAAGGGCAATTAACAAATAGACAACTTTATTGCCTAAACTGTATGGGTATAAGCCAGTAATCTATCTTTCTCATGTATTATTTTATTGCTTTTATAATTGCCCATTACTTTTAACGAGCAATTCTGTAAGTACAGTTCGAAAATAACAATTTTAAACCCTAATTACACTAACCATGTGTGAATAAATAATCTCCAAACTAATCCCTCGTCTTCTAACGACCATACATTTTACACAAGTTCTAAGCTTTATGCGTTTAAATTTATCGCTTGTTGACATCAACATCGCACAAAGCTATAAAATTAATGGGCCAGCTGCTGAGTCAACTTAATAGCGGATACACTTATGCAAGCGATTTAATTAGCAATAGATTTTATTACCCAAAAGGGCAATTATCACAAGAAATAAGAGTAGATCCTACTTTAGGGACTCTAAATTTACGTCTTTTTGAGAAAAAGTTCAATAGAGTTTCTGACATCAAAATACAGATCAATTAATCATCGAAACCAAAGTTATTAATAACCCATATAATTAGTCCAAATTGCGTTAAAAATAATGTCGAGAACAACACGAGGGAAAGGGAGACAAGAACCTATAAGCGACGATACAGAGATTACCGATACAGAAGATACCAATGATGGGGATAGGACCATATCAGCGGTGGAATCGGGGACAACAACAGAGATTCTCGGTACAAACAACAGTGCCCAGGAGGCCCCCGCACAGAAGACGCCAACACCCACCGGATCGTCGGAGTCCACCAAAGACAAGGCAGGGAAAAGAGACGACTCATCATGTAAGTCCATGATAACTGTAGGGTCAGTCCAACCCCGTGCGTTTGATGGCACTACTGACGTAGATGATTGGATTCAACACTTTGTCTATGTGGCCCAATGTAACAACTGGAACAACAACTTACAGGTAAGACGGTTGCCTGTGTATCTTAAAGACACAGCGGAACTGTGGTTCAAAAGTTTTTCAAGCCTCAATGAGGATCCAATGAATCCCACTGAGGAACAAACCTCATTGCCTGAATTATTTGATGGTCTGAGAGAAGCCTTTCGCCCCAAGAACTACATGTCCATAAACCAGTCCTCACTTCTTTGCCGAGTTCAAGGTCTGTCAGAGATTGCCATCTCATACTATTATGATATGCTCAGATTATGCAACAAAGTGAACCCGGGAATGAGTGATCAAGAAAGACTAACCAACATTCTACGAGGACTACGGGCCGATGTGCTAGAAAAGGTAATAGTATTGGAGCCGAAGAATTGCATCGATTTGTTAGGTAAATTACGAACGATGGAAGAGGCTTCATATCTAGCAAAACAACGCTCAGGCTATAATATGTTGTTAACCAACAAACTCAGTACTCCGGCAGAGTTTAGCAATAAGCCCAGCGAGGCCTCTGCTCAAACTACAGATAAAATTGATACTTTATGCGATCTAATTAAACAATTACTGTCACAACCTTCGAGTAATTACAGACCAAAACCGTGGCAAGGGCGAAACCAACGATCCGGCCCTCGTGTAACCAGAACTGTGGACGGACGCCCAATCTGCTACAACTGTGGAACACCTGGTCATATTGCCAGCAGCTGTTATAAGAAGAAATCCACACCAGAGATAACGGGAACATCGAAGGACGCAAACACTAATGAAACTCATAACATAGCGGGAAACTCTTAGAGGCGACGCCTTCGCTCGAAGACGTCGCCGACCCTTATTGTTACTATCTCAAGCTTAACTCTAATTACCTTACCGTTGACGGATCCGTTGACGGACTACCCTTTACTATGTTATTAGATACCGGCTCTTCTATCTCTTTAATGAATCAAAACATTACAAATAAATTCTCAAAACTTGATATTGATTATTGTTCTAAACCTGTTCTACGATTAGCCAATGGTTCATTTATACAACCAATTGGTCGCACGTGTTTACCTGTATGTTTTGATGAACAAACTATTCTACTACCATTTTCAATCTATGAAAATATACCATTTGAGATTTTATTAGGATTAGATTTCTGTACTATTGCTAAATTAAAAATTGACTTCCAATCACTATGTGAACCTGACATAGATAATGGGTTCCCCTTTAATTTTATGAATATAATCGAACATGAAAATGATCGACGAGTTTATAACAAATATACAGTAACTCTATTACCAGAAACAGCTCAGTGGATAGAAATAAAGTCGATCGATAAAGATAGAACTGATGACACATTATTTATACCACGATCTGACTTAATGGATAAAACAAAACTGATAATTAATGATAGTTATTTTTACATAATTAATGATGAGTTACATGTATTTGCTATAAACTCTAACAAATATACAGTCACTCTACGGCAAAACACACAGTTAGGAACGTACGATACAGTATATGACAACTTCTCTATGCTTCCCATTGGGCCTATGGCTCCCGTTGGACCCATGACTCCCACTGAACCCATGGCTCCCATAGTATCCATGGTTCCCTTACAATTTCACATTAACAACAATCTCACAACAGATCAAAAAACTAAACTATTAGATTTATTAAACACTTACAACTATCTGTTCGCGACAAACATGAATGAGTTAACCAGAACACATCTAACCACACACGAAATTCATACAGAATCTTGTGTTCCCATTAAGAGTGCCCCATACAGAGTCTCACAATTTGAAAGAGACATAATGCAAAAACAAATCAATGAACTGTTAAATGCTGGACTAATACGGGAATCAACTAGTCCCTTTTCATCACCAGTGGTGATGGTTAAAAAATCTAACGGAAAGTACCGCCTATGTATAGACTACAGAAAGTTAAATACAATAACAAAGAAAAACTCATATCCGTTGCCGCGTATTGGTGATCTCATGAGCGCCCTTAACGGATCACATTATTTCTCAACCTTGGATATGGCTTCTGGGTATTACCAGATCCCTGTTAACGAAGAAGATATCGAAAAGACAGCTTTTGTGTGTCCCTTCGGACTTTACGAATGGGAGGTGTTACCATTCGGTCTATGCACAGCGCCCGAAACCTATCAAAAAATGATTGATAAACTGATATCTCATTTAAGATATAATACGTGTGTCGCATATTTGGACGACATAATTGTTTATTCACCCGATTTTGATGAACATATCAACCGTTTAGCGAAAGTATTTACCGCAATAAACACAGGGAATCTACGACTCCAGCCCGAAAAGTGTCAATTCTGTGAGAACTCAATCAAATACTTGGGATGGATAGTATCATCTGATGGTACCCGACCAGATCCAGCGAAAGTAAGTGCAATACACCGCTTCCCTACACCATCCTCAAAGACAGAGATTAAACGATTCTTGGGTATGTGTGGTTATTATCGGGACTCAGTCAACAACTTTGCCGCTAAGGCCGAGCCACTCAACAATTTGCTCCGCAAAAGAGTTGAATTCAAATGGACAAAAGATCATGACCAAGCTGTTGCACAATTAAAAGAAAGCCTCATGTCTTCACCAGTCATAATGCACTTCGACAGTAAATTACCGGTCCGACTCCATGCAGATGCCAGTTACTCCGGTCTCGGCTATATCCTGTCACACGTCATCGATGGGGTCGAACACCCATTCAGATATGGTAGTCGCTCATTAAACGACAATGAGTGTAATTACGGGGTCACTGAACTTGAATGTTTGGCGGTAGTGTATGCCATAACCCAAAATAGACATTACTTATTGGGGATAAAATTTCAAGTAATCAGTGATCACTGTAGTTTGTGTTGGATGTTCAGGACA